GTCATTGAATCCATCTCAATCCACATAGGTGAGAGGCTTTTTTCAATAGCAATTGTTGATCCTTTATTAATCACCTATAGCTCTGCAAACATGTTTGTTTTCTGACCGATATATTCCTGGAATGCATGCATATAAAGGATCTCCATTAGCATCTCGGGATAATCCTCCAGCTCTAGCTTTGCCTAGATTTCCTTTGGAAGCCCCGTTGATGTTGAGTTTAATCCATCCCAAAGGCTGTCTCTCTCAAAATACCAAGGTATGTCGGGGTACGAGTGAGATTTTGAAATTCATAGAAAATGCAACCGCTTGTTCTGTATCTCCCTTCCAATGTTGTTTATGAAACATCACATTCTTAGATAGAACTTGCAGGTGTCGATTTTTCACTGCTAAGTTTTAATTAACTCCTGAATAAGAAATAATTAGTTTGCACTCTCTACTTTACCTGTTTGGTTGATTATTAGTCCTTATTTCATATTCTGCTATTAATGTGCGTAGTATACTTATTTTGTACTCTTAAAACATATTCTAATACTCTCAATATTCTTCTATATACTTATAAACATCTCGCTCTATCTCAATTGTTCAAATTAAATATCTATGTTTACTTTATGTGTACCTTCATTTTGAAAAAAATAAAAAATAAAATAAAAATAGAATACAAAATTTAAAGACACATTCTACCATGCAAGTGAAGGAGGGAAACCACCGCCCACGATTTTTAAAATCTTTCAATTTCAATCAAAGTTCTTATATCTTCCCTCGCGGTCTCTGCAGAACATCCAAACTCCATTAACCTACCTTGTTGAAAAATGGTGAGAAAGAATTGACAATCAATTCCATCACCATCACAAGGTGCATTTATTTTTGGTCAATGGGTTGATTATTATCAATTAACCATGTCCTTTTGTAGGGAGACTGTGTGGGAACATGGGTTGGTATTCGTTTATTCTAATAACATAATTGAAATGTTTTTTGATCAATTGATCAAAGGTGAGAGTATTGACACATACTTTTATAGTACCTCTACAGTTCTACCTTTCAGCAGCAGCACAATGGCAAAGTGCGGTGCGGTTGTGTACCTTGGACTATTTCGGTAAGTTAGTATTTGTTATTTGAATGATTCATTTTTCACACCAAAATTTTGAAATTTATCCAGAATTTACAATAAAATACACAAAAACCATAGTGAATGGAATAGATGCAAGAAAGGTCCAAAAAGGAGAACATAAAATAGAGCAACGTCCTGGTTATGCTTCGCTTTAGGAAACTATTTCAAAGGAAATTGGTCGCATTCAATAAAAAAATGCGAGTGGATGAAGATACATTTTCATCCCAGTGCGCACCAAGTTCCACTAATACTTATTGGACACCACAGACAAGGTAATGTATGAGTAAAACTCTCTTCGAGATCCGTTTGGGCAAGAGAACAAAAAAATATTGGTGCCTTCACGTGTTACATATACTTATCACTAGAAGTGAAAACATAGTTGTAACTATATATCGTGTCAAATCTGCAGACCCGGTTCCTCTACTTGTACACATGAACTAGATACATTTTTGGCCTATGACGATTGATGTTCCAGTCTATATGAAAGCCACCGTCAAGGGAATACAGGTCTATATGTATTAAAATATTTTTAAAATAATGTCTCAATAAAGATATATACAATATGAAAATTATTTTATATATAATAAAATTTTATATAATACAAATATGAAAATATATATTTATTTATAATTAATATAAATTATTTTTATAAATGATGATTAGTTTTAAATACAAATAAAAATATTTGTTTATTGAGGAGATATATAGAAATAAAAGAGTTTTGAGTGGATCCGTTATAATGGTATACATTATAAAATTAATTAAATTGACTTATATTATCAAATATATTTTAAATTAATAAATTTTATCAAATATAGAAATGTGTCATTTGTTTTGGGATAGACTAAAATTGAAATGATATTATTTGTTATAGGATGAAGGGAGTACTATTTAATTTTTTATTTTTTTTTTTGTGAGACCTACTTTTATCGAAACTTTTTATTTTTTTATTTTCTGTGGAGTCTACTTTTTATTTTAATTATTTTATTTTTCTTTCTTTTTTTAAAAAAAAATCTGCATAGATCTCATCCTTAATAATTTAAATTAATAAATTTTATCAAATATAGAAATGTGTCATTTGTTTTGGGATAGACTAAAATTGAAATGATATTATTTGTTATAGGATGAAGGGAGTACTATTTAATTTTTTTTTTTTTTTTTTGTGAGACCTACTTTTATCGAAACTTTTTATTTTTTTATTTTTTTTATTTTCTGTGGAGTCTACTTTTTATTTTAATTATTTTATTTTTCTTCTTTTTTTAAAAAAAATCTGCATAGATCTCATCCTTAATGATCCTCTATCATTCTAATCGATCGAATTATAACATTTCACCGTGAGAATTTCAAGATGAAGATAAAATAGTGAGATCCACCTCAAAGAAAAAAAATTCAGATTGTTTTTCAAATATGGACTCTATTATTAATTATATACTCCCTCCGTCCACTTAAAAATATATATTTACTTTTAGCGAGTTTAAGAAATAATGGTATTTTAATGAATAATTAAAAATAATGTAAAGACAATTTTACTTATGTGATGGTAAAGTAGGAGTATTTATTTTATTAAAAAAAACTATTTCAAAAATATTTTACTAAAACACTAGGGAATGTTGTATAATTCATCCAAATCGATATTATGCATTATATATTAAATAAATAATAAATATTACGTATCATTCTTTTTTTAAGAAAGTAGTATTTTATGATACATGAGATTGAATATATTGTCTTGTTCCAAAATAATTTTTCAATAACCATTGTGTGAGCTATTATTGGTAAGGATCGAGAGATGGATTTTTCTTCCTTTGATATATTTTTAAAATGTAATTTCTTTTTAAAATGTAATATGTTAAAGCCGATCGATCAAAACACAATCGAATATGCAACGAAACATTGAATTAATATATAAAAGAGTTTGCATTTGAACTGGACTAGTCATTCATGTCATATTGTCAAATGGTTCACTACAAAACTTTTGAGAATTAGCTACGAAAATAATTTGTAGCAAAATGTATAATTTTGTAGAAAAAAAGCTTTCATGACAAAATGAGTTTCGTCGCCTATACCGCGTAGCTAAAGGTTTTTTGTCTTTTAGAGAAAGGTAAATTTTTCGCGATGAAAGTGTGGTTATGAGATTTAGCTACGAAAATATAATTTCGTAGCTAAAATTCTTTTGCTATGAAAATAAGATTTCGTAGAAAAAGTGTTTTAGCAATGGAATATGATTTTCATAACCAAAAGTTTTATCTACGAAAATTGGATTTTGTAGAAGAAAAGCTTATATCTACAAATATAGTTTTCATAATAAAATCATTTTAGCTACAACAAAAAATATTTCATAACAAAACTGTTTTCACTACAAAATTCTATTTTCGTAGTAAAAAGTGTTAGCTACGAAAAAAAGATTTTAGAGCAAAATGACATTAGATGGGATTCTTGCATTATAACAATATATTTTCATATTGAAAACTAGAAAATAATTAAATCAATAATGCTAGAAAAAGTCCATGATTATATTGAAAATAAATGGTAAAGTCTAAAAATTATCACAGACATACTAATCAATCCAAACATAACCATTGCAAACTCAAAATTAAAAATGACTATGATCTTGTATATCTAACTCAAAATTCATATAAATGATGATGCCACAATCCTTGAAGCTCACGATTTTGAAGCATCAACAAGTAATCCATTGAAGTGCATTAGGAATCTGCATAATATAATATACATAAATAGTTAATATTAGGGAAAATTGCAAAAAATATACCATATGTATACCTCATTATCACTTTTGTCCTGTATTTATCTCGCTGGCAAAATATATCCTACATGTTTGCAAAAGTCGCGATTTCTATCCTTTGACCGCGCGTGATTGCACGTAAGGGCGCGTGGTGTGAATTTCACGCGCGGAAAAATGATATAAATAGCGACTTTTTTAAACATATGGGATATATTTTGCCAGGGAGTAAATACAGGACAAAAGTGATAATAGGGTATAAGTGTGAGATATTTTTTGCAATTTACTCGTTTATATTATATGTAAATAAGGAGAATATTGCAAAAAATATCCCACACTTATACCCTATTATCACTTTTGTCATGTATTTATCTCCCTAGCAAAATATATCCCACATGTTTACAAAAGTCGCTATTTATGTCCTTTGTCCGCGCGTGAAATTCACACCACGCGCCCTTACGCGCAATCACGCGCGGCCAAAGGATAGAAATAGCGACTTTTGCAAACATGTGGGATATATTTTGCCAGCGAGATAATACAGGACAAAAGTAATAATGGGGTATACGTGTGGGATATTTTTTGCAATATTCCCTTTAAATAAGCATACTACAAACATTTTTGCTAATATAAATAACTAGTGCCACAAATATTTCTACTATTATACAAAATAAACCACTTTTCATTATTTCCCATGAAGTAACACCAAAATTATAAGCAAAATCAACCACGAAGTCACACAAAGATTATGAATAAGAGCATCCAACCAAATAGTCATAAATATACATGTATGTCATTAGCACTATATTATCAATTCCCACTTTAAACCAATTAGTTATAAATACATTCTCACTAGTATACAAAATAAACTAATTCTCATCATAGCAAAACCAACACAAACATATTTTATAGACTTTAACAAATAATATAGTATAAAATGTCCTACAAAAATTGCATTACGTGCATATCATAGTAACTCTAAATAGAGCATATTGTAATGTTTCTTCAATAAAGATGCTATCAATAATATAAACAAACTTAAGAAAAATTTTGAAATAACCTTATTACTTACCAAGAATCGTTTGCATTTCACTCCCTCCAATAACATTTTCATGATATCATTCAACTCATTAATTTTTTGGTCCTGCGAATTAATTTTCTGTTACTGGGACTGCGCTACAGTTTTGACTGCTTCAAGCTCATGTGTTAAATGATCAGAAATTTTAGAAGATTCATCTCTTCCAAATTTGAAATCTATTGGCCTAGGGCCAAAACCAAGGCCAGTTATGCGCCCTAACTTCTTCATAAGAACAGTGTCAACAATTTCATCTGCATTCATTTCTTCAAAACAATCTCTCAACTCTTGCATACTTGACTACCATTATTTTTTAGTGTCAATAATTACAAGTATTAGTAAACAACCATTTGAAAAGTAAGAATGATTTAACCAGTAAAGAAATGTAGTTCATACGTATTTATCCTTTGCCAACTCAGTTTTAAATGCATTTTTGTCCGGTCCACCATATATTTTTCCAAAGAATTAATACGATCAGGATCTCCCTATCATATATTCTAGATTAGTGTTCTTTGCCTATGCTATAAAGAGAATAATAATATAGAAAAGAAAGGCTACCATTTCATGACGAGCGGCAACAAATGACATAGAACCCATACAGTGCTTTGAATCATTCTTTGCCCTATTTTTAGTATTCTGAGCACACTTTTTCTATGTTTACAAAATTAAGAAACATTGTCATAAAATATTTTGGAGCATATTGAATAAATAGTGTTTTGTAATGACATTTGACATTACTATTTAGAAAAAAATTTAAGAACTACAGCTTACAATTTAGTTTGCAATTTTGAAAATAATACGTAATAATCTGGATCTTCCCATAAATTGCAACATAGTTCCTAGTCTTTTGAATCTATTTCTTTAGGAGGATTAGCACGGGCCCAATCATATGAGTTTCCGTCTTTAATGCAAGTTTTCCATTTTTTATGAAGCCTACATTTATGATCTCTATAATGATTGCCAAGCATGGTATTACAAACCTTGCAACATATGGCCCTTCGTCAATCAAATCAAATCGATCCAGTATTTCAGTTCAAACATATATATTCTAAGTCAAATATACTATAAATAAAGCTAAGAAAAACGATAAAAACTTCATGAAAACTATGAAAGGGTAACTAAATGATGCATTTACAACTATTGAAAAATTAGCACAAAAATTATAGCGCAAACAACATAAAGATTACTTGAATGACGGCTAAAAATATTTATCAAACTGCTATTAAATTTTTCTAAATGCAGTTTTATTATAAATTGAAACAAATACTATCATATTGAAGCATATAAGAATACTTTTATGCGCTCTAATATAACATCCTTGTATTTTCCCACCAACTTGCTTAAATAAGGTGTTCCTTCAAGAATAGTGCGATGCCGAGTTCATTTGAGAACATTGTTGACACTATCCTATTTGTTGGCCTTCCTTTTTCTTCAGGGATGTGTACAGGAATTTTTCCATGTGCTTTAACATATCTATCTGTACCTTTTCCTTTAGTCTTTCCACAACATTTGACTATTAAAACAAGTAGATTTATTTACGATTTACAAAAACATATGTATCTAAAAAAAAGTGTGAACTACCTTGCAATTCATTATCGGAGTTAGTAGTTGCACCTTTTGCTCCATCTTGACTCGATATGTTAGAAGGACCATTGCTTGCTGAATTAGATCATGAATGATAGTGATCGATGATGTTGGACGACTTTGCTTCTTGGAAACTCCTGGAGCATTCTGAAACGCATGTATGAAATAAAAAATAAAAAATCAGATCATTTCAGTAGCTGGAAATGGCAAAGGGTAGGACACTTGTGCGTTGTATTATGCATGTTCTGAAGTTGCAATCATCATATTGAAGTAAAAAATGTCTTCAGATGATAAAACCAAACTAGTGGCATGAAACAAAACAATAATTTAAGAAGGCTCACATGACTCGCAAGCATGTATAGCAGCAAATAGGACACTATACCAGCCCAAGCGATTTCCGCAAAGACACCAGAAGTTCTTTTTAGCTCTGAAATTAGAGGTAAAATCCTGATGAATCTTTGGGAAAACACCTGAGCTATGTAGATATCTCCAGACAACAATCTGAAAAAAAAAAAAAAAAAACACAGACGATGCAACATAAAGATCAACAAAGAAAATGTAGTGTTACCTTTGGAATAAAGCCCCAAAAAATAATCGCAGTATAACTCGTGTGATGAACAAAGAAACAATGGTGCATAATAGTTACAAAAACAAAAGCCACAATAGAAAGAATCTCTCCAAATATATATTTATATATACATAAACATCAATATAATAAGGTTCTTTCCTGTGAACAAAAAGTAGCACATTACACAATGGTTTCACTTATACAGAAACAACACCCACACAGTCGTGCAACTATTCACAATATGCTAAGTATTTTGATTCAGTTAAAAAAAATGTAATGTCTTGTTTAGAAATCATAACTACTCTTATATGATATCCTCAATTGACAAAGAACAAAGTTTTCAACAACCTTCAGCAGTAACCAATATTATATGTCACAAAATTAACAAACTAACTACATAATCGCACTCCCTTCCCTTTGTCATCATTTATGCATAGTAGATGATGAATGTATTAAATTTTTTGCACCGGATTCTATTTAGCAATTGAGAGGGTATAAATGTTTTGATAATTACATATGCGGATATAGTTATATATTAATCCTTCCCACCGCTTGACTTCTATAGGTCTTAGCAAAAAAAAAAACAAAAAACTTTTGTAACCAATTATCTACAAGCTAATATGCATGCATAAGCAATTACAGAAAGACAATCTAATACAAATGACACTTGAGAACCTGATACCAATATGTATGCAAAATGAATATTGTACATTTCACATATGCGATATCCAAATATCTAAACATATTAGACATAATGAAATAGAATCCATCGTCAATCTCTGTAGGACCAACTTCTTATTACATATGACTGGTATTACACAGCATAATAATAGGGAAACCAAAGACGAAAAATCCACCTAGCCTTGTGCATTATCTCAGAACTCTGAATTTGCGCCACCCAAACATAGGTTTCACTCAATCAACAAGGAAAGGATTGGATATGCACAAAAACAGAAAAAAAAAAAAAAATCAAACAACACAAAACACAACAAAGGCAATCAAATAAACACATGTTTATTTCAAGTCTTGCATCAAGTAATCAGTAACCTTTCCAGAATATATGAAATGAATATGTGTTAAATAATTTAATCACAACCTTCATATCTAAATGTATCACATTGTTGAACAACATAAAATTTAACACACATCCAATGTATTTTATAAATTTAACATCATACTATGCCTCTAGTTGAATTATTTCACCACTTTTGAGTTCTATCTAAAGATAAAAATGCACACCAGTACTCTTATATGTAGCATGTATTTGTTTGGTCTATATCCAAATATCCACTCACCTCTTATTAGACTAAAACTATTGTAAAAGCTTGCAACCATCTACATTATAAAGAATAAAAGAGAAACTATTATAAAAGCTTGCAACCATCTACATTATAGAGAATAAAAGAGTGGAATTATACATTGAGTTCAAAAAAAGAAGCAAAGAAATGCGTCAAAATTGATAAAGCTATGACTGAAACATTAAAAAAAGATAAAATACCTAAATTGCGAAATCTGGAGGGCTTCACAGCACTGGCGGTGGACAAATAAAACCAAAAGTACACTGGCTGAGGAATGATGATGACAATGAAATCATTAAGACTGAAATTTAACTATAGTTTAGAAGATTGCATTCTACTCGATCAAAAGCAACATCAAATCCTCTCTGGCAGCAGATCAGCACAATGACCATAATTTCATTCAACTTGCACATTATTGTTTGTTCGATTGCAAAATTTCAGAAGAAACAAACTGCTTGGATAGAAATCTATGTCTAAACACATGTGAAATAAATTGAACTGATGCAGAAGTACCTTAACCTATGGACATGATCAAAACTGAATTTAGAATCTTCTGGTGCAAGTATAGAATTCTAAAACACGAATTCCTTTCCAACATTTAAAAACAATCAGCACTCCACCACCACAAAATGGAAATGGATATCCGAATCAAGTTTTCCAACAGAAAAAAGAAACTCAATGATTCGCTGGAAAGCTGGAAATAGTATTGTACCTTCAACTTAGCTACAGGCGTTCAGGATAGCAAATACAAATTTGACGAAGAGGAGGTCGATGAAGTTGAGAATAAGGATGAGTTGGAGTAGAATAATAATAAGTATGAATGAAAAGATTAAGGCTGCGGCAAAGACAAATGACGGGGATGAGCGAAACGATTACGGCTACGACAAAGACAAGGATGGGGATGGGAACGCTTGTGGGAGGCGAAGACATGGTGAATGGTGGCGGTGGACGGAAAGCACATAGACGACAGCTACTGGGCGCTTTCAAAATTAGGTTTATTTAAAGATACTTTATTTACTAGTATTTTATTTTTTAGGAATATTTAAATTTGAAATATATTTCATTTTTTTGTTGATTTTCATAATTAGTATATATGGTTTATTTTGATAAAGTTTTATATTAATCAATTTATTCTATTGGACATCAAATAATCAATGAGGATAAAAGGAAAATTATAATTAATATTTGATCATTCTAAAAAATAATATTTTTAATTTATATATTTATAATTTTTGAATTTATTTTTGGAATTTTATCAAGTTAATAATACATATCTTTTTAGAAAAAAATTGACAATTTATTTTCTTGGAAAGAAAATTTAACTACGAAATATTTCTTTATTCGTTGCTATTAAGTCACAAATTATTATGAAAGTATAAGATGTAGTTAATAATTGATATTTAGTAACAAAATTAAATTTTGTAGTTAAATGATAAGGTTTTACTATGAAAATAATTCGTTACTTTTTTGTAGTGGTTTTAATACAATAACTGCGTTTATTTTAAAGGGAATCTAAGTGACCTTATGCTAGTCTGCTTCTACTTAGTTGATATATTGATTATAGAAAGTGATCAACGACTCATTTTATGGACTAAATAAATATTGAAAAGAAATTATGACATAAACGGTTTTGAGGTTGAATGACGTAATCCTTGAGATTAAAATGATTATAGACCAAGAGAGAATTCTCCTAACACAATATCACTATGCAATTTAAGTATGGAGAGAGTTTAGTGCTATATGATGGACAATAAATTGAAAATCCACTTGACCCAAAGGTCAAATGGACGAAATTATTGGGTAACCTTACGACTCAAGAGAAATACGCAGGATCCTTGAGAGATTTGTGTTCTAAAGAACTACACTCGTCCTGATCTTGTTTACTCAGTGAATAAAGTGAGATACTATAGCAATCCAAGTAGCATTGCTAGATTGCAACTGTGAGATTTTTTAGGTATCTAAAACATACTGAAAATATAGAGCTATGTTATTCAAAATATTTTTTAGTGCTTGAAGGATATTTAATTGCCGACTGAATATCAAATCAAAATGACTCATTTTCTACAAGTAGATATGCGTTCACGATCGGAAGAGATATTGTGTCATGAAAATCGACTAGGTGTGTTTGTTTGCGGGTTTGGATTTTGAGTTGGGATTTGAATAGTAAAAATTTTGAATTTGAATAGTTGTATGATGTGATATAAATAGGTATTGATGTGATGTTTTGAATGTAAAATTGATTTTTAGTATAATATAAAAAATGAAAGTAGGTGTTTGATTTGATGTTTTTGGGAAAAAAAAATAGGATGAATAGTGGAAATCCAAACAAATCCCTCAAACAAACACACCCTAAGTAGATATATATAAATAATCTGATCCTCGATGAAATCTGTGTCTATTGCCTTGAATAAGGCAAGAAAGGAAATCGAATGGTGCTTGCCTCGTCAAAGCTGCAAAATAAAGTATCAATTCCTACATCACAAAAAAACTTGCAAAATGCAGTAGTTCGGTGAGTAGGGTCGTCTCCGCAGGGAATAATAATAATATTGAATATTCGGTTATCTAAAATTATACTATATATATAATGGTGGGGTTGAATTTATCACACTAAAATAAGAGAAAATAAATTCGCTCAACTAAATAAAATAAAATAAAATGCACGGCAGATTACCAAAGATGATTAGACTCTAGCATAGACATGAATTTTTCATTCGGGATATGAAATTTGATCATCGACTAAAAGTCAAATTCATCGACTAGTTGGATAAATTGGTTAAAGTTGATCTACACGCGTTCACAACCAACCTTTCCTTAATTTTTCGATAGCTAAGGTACGACCGTTAGCTATTTCTCTAATCGGGAAAGAATCCTAGGTACGACCGTAGTTTTCTAACTCGACAGCAGTAAAAACTAGAAAGGCCCAATTCAATTTAACAAGCTCCTACGAGGATTTGTTTAAAATTGATCTTAATTCTTCCCTAGAGTGTTCTTCTCTAGGTTTCTACGCCAATTGGAAAATTACACAATTACGTATGCCAATCCCCAATATAGCTATGAAATCCTAAATTGATACGTGTGCAATAATCAATTCAAGATTTCTAAACTCATCAATTAGAAGAATTAAAAATACCAAACATCGATGAACACCAATTTTAATCGAAACCAAGTCTCACAATTTCAATCCCGAAAATCAATTCATACCTACACTAGAAATGAAACTACTCACAATCCATAGCAATTAAGAATATAAAATAAATCAAATAGTTCATCATGCCGTCAAGTTTGAAAATCGACAACAAACCAATTCTAGAAATGAAGAAAAATGGTGCCCGAAAGTTCTTCTGCGTTGCTCTCCAAAGTTCCCGTACGTAGTATCTTCCTTCGCTTCTCTTCTCTTTCAGAAAATGGGTTGTAGGTGAGATCGTGGTAGAGAACGTGGTAGTCCTCTCTCTTCTCCTCTTCAATTGAAAATCGTGTCTCTTTAAGTCTATCCCAAGATCCCCTTTGCACTTTGAACCAAACAATTCTAAAATTGCTAATTAACCCCGAAGGACCTTTTTGCAATTTTCATTTTTTTCCTGCTTTGTGATCACGCTTAAGGACTTCCTGCGTTTTGCTTTTCTCTCCAATATGCCCAAAATTTGCCAGCTCCTCAACGTCTAGTAAAAAGTTCAAAAACACATCATTAGGAGCATATATACAAAATTCGCATCCAAAAACCATCTAAAATATAGCAAAATATTTGTCTAATATTGCATATATCAACTCCCCCACGCCTATCACATGCTTGTCCTCAAGCATATATCCAAACCAAGAATTGAAATACTCACTAGCGCAAAAGTCACTCAACCATGCCGCCAACTACGTCGGATTCAAAGCATGCAAGAACCAACTAACCTCGGAATGTATATAAGTAAAAGCTCTTACCCTCAAGTGTTTAGGCTATATTCACTCAATGCACATGAAGTAAACAACGAACCCCATAGGCTTGCAAGCAAATCAAATCAACTCCACAATTCATCAAAAAATCAATGTTCATAATCAAAGGTCTTAATAAAAGGTTGTAATGGGGCTTTGGTTCGGGTAGGAAAAGGGATATTAGTGGCTAATGGGACCGAGGAATTAATCTATCAATTCATCACATCAAAATGAACGCAAGTCGCACACACGTATGAATAAGAATAACATAACAAGAACAACACAATACTTCCCAAGATTTGATCAATGCAAGACAACATCATACTCACTTTTCTTTTCACGAGTCCTTTTTTTTTTTAGGACTCGGAATATATTTTTTTTCTCTTCTTTTTTTACACACAACCTTCTTTTTTTTTAGTGTTTTTTTTTATATAGGAGGTTGGTCAATGAAATACTTTTGGCAAAAATATATATGAATTTATAATTGTGCCACATATATGAGAACTTTCAAATGCAACTATCGAATAATATAGTGATGATATGCAACTCTAAATAATATAATGTAATGAATCAAAGAACAATCCCTCGAGTTCCCATAGGTTCAAGTAAATATTCGGCTTATTCCAAAAAAAAAGGCATATCGGCTTGGGTTAAATATGAACCAAGAAAAATATGATAATAACATTAAGCTCAAACTTTGGTTCACTAGGGGATAATAGGGGTGAAGGTATGAAATTAAGGCCAACAAGGGTAAACCTAGTGCCTTATCATTTTAATCCCATCAATTCTCAATAAACGCGGAGTCAATAAGCATAAGCAAGCAAGTTCTAGGTAGTCAAATACAACATATGTTCACACAATCCAAATTGCGTATATATGATATATATGAGTGAATTTGCTCAAATAAGGCTCAAATAACTCCCTTAAGGGTTCTTTGTTAGAAGGCTAAGCACACTCGTCATCTAACTTCATCAACAAACATGGCAAGATCCTAATGAACTAAGTAAAGCACAAAAATCTCAGCTCGACATACGCAAGAGGACATGCATGGAAGTATATCAAAATAAAGCATTATAGAGCATCAAAAGTTCTAATCTCCCCCCACACCTAATTGAGGCAATGTCCCTATTGCAAGAACAAAGATGAAATAAAGGAAAGGAGAAAAGAAACTTCCCTGGAATAGGTGGGGGCGACCGGCCATTAGAAAAAGACCCGAGACTCGCACTGGTCGGGGCAGTAAGAGGGATCCAACTCTTGCACCTTGCCCATCGTGCCTTCACGCAAAAGAATTCAACAATAAAATTACAATTCCTCAATAAATTCCACAAAACATTTGCACTAGCAATTATACCCGACACCAAACATAAATCTCAAATATGTATTCCATGTGTCGACAATTTCACCATCACAACATCATTCTCAATCATCTATATGCATCTATTTATCGATTGCATCAAAGAACTTCTATGAAAATCGCCCAAATTAAAATTCTTCATCATCAACTGATTTTATATAATATTTAGGCAATAATCGATAGAGGTTAACCAAGAGAATGCAATAGATCAAGAGTAAATGACTTCCCTGAAATCTCCACCGGTGACTCGCGGCGGATGGTCAGCGGCAGCGCAAAACAACAGCAGTTTGAGATCGGGAGCAGCCCGCGGCGGAGAAGGCTGCTACTGGCAGGCGGCTTCAGCGCGCCGACTTGGCGGAGGAGGTGCGCAGGATTGGCGGAGGAGGCTGCTACTGGCGGCGTAATACACGAACCGGCTGGACTGCGGCGGCTAGCGGAGGCGCAACGGTTCGAACCGGCCTGAGGAGAGAGCGGAGAGAAGAGCGCATCGGGCGGCTGTGAAAGAGGGAGAGACAAAAATAATTAGGGTTTAAAGGGTGTAATAATAATAATAATAATAATAATAATAATAATAATAATAATAATAATAATAATAAATATAGCAATAATAATAATAACGGATAACTATTATAGCAATATGGAAATAAAAAAAATTAGGACTTAATTATAGCAATATGAAAATTCGCCTAATCCTTCACCTATGCTGCTTGGACGCCCTTTTATGTGTACTGCACACACAAAAATTGATGTTAGGACAGGGACACTTACCATGGAATTTGAAGGTGTAAAATTTCATATCAATATTTTTGATGAATCAAATGATCCCGTGGAACCTCATGCTTTGTATTATGTAGATGTCCTTGATCAAAATGTGCAGGAAGTCTTTGAAGTTGGAGAAAGAAGGAAATTGCAGTTGCAAGAGTTGAAGGAAATTTAGAAAAAAGCTTTCGAGAATGCGAGAATTATTAAAGGAAATAGTAAAAAATTTCATGATCCAAATATTTTGGGAAAAGATTTTAAGGTTGGTCAAAAAGTTTTGCTTCATCATTCTCATCTTAAGATTTTTCTGGGTAAACTTCGTTATCATTGGATAGGTCCATTTGTAGTAACTAATGTGTTTCCGTGTGGTACAGTTGAGATTCAAAGTTTTAGCACGGATAAAAGGTTTGTTGTGAATAAAACATCGTCTTACGTCTTACAGCTCTTTTAATTTCCATCTTACCTATTTTGCACGGGACGACAAACATACCTGGATCTTCGCATTTTTGTGGCAATTTTCTTTGCAGCACGGCGGACACAGTCTCTCCAGCTAGCACCTTCTCGTCTCCTCTCAACTTCTTCTTCTTGGTACACAACTCCTTCAGAAATTTCGCATAACGGGGGACTTGCTTAATTGCGTCAAGCAAAGGAATGCTTAGCTCCACTTTCTTAAACATCTTCATGATCTTCTTGTCTTTATCGCTTTTAGCCGGTTTTGCTAACCTGTGAGGAAATAGAGCAACATTAGCATTTGATTGAATAAGAGGATCAGAAATTACCTGATCAGTAGTCTTGTTCACTTAATGCTCAATCTCCTTCTCAATCTCCTCTCCACCTCTTTTTTTTTCAGTAATCACCTTCGAACCCTTCAGTTCCTTACCACTCCGCAAGATCATTGAACTAATATTGCTCGGGTTCATGTGGGTTTGAGCTGACAGCTTGCCTTTTTCCTTTTCTTTCATCTCACGCACCTCTTTCACGACTTGAGACATCTGATCTTCCAAGTTCTTTATGTTTGTTCTCGTCTCTTGCTGAAATTGCAAAACATTAGAGGCAATTGTTTTCACCATATCATGCAAAGAGTTACCAGGAACGGGAGCTTGGTGCATAGTCCTTTGTTGCTGCTGTTGTGCTTGTGGTTGAAAACCCGGTGGTTGTTGTTGACCAAAGGATTGCTGATTCTGATTCCCATATCGAAAATTGGGGTGGTCTCGCCATCCCGGATTGTATGTGTTTGAATATGGATCATAAGCCCTTCTTGGTGCAAAACCTGCAGCACTCACTTCCACCTCTTCTCTTAGTGTGGGACAAGCATCCGTGGGATGCTCAACACTCCCACAAATTCCACACGGCTTCACTTGAGCATTACCTATAGCAAGTTTCCTCACAAAAACAGTTAGCTCATTCAATTGTTGTTGCATAGGAGAACTTACCTCAACAGCTTCTTTCACTCCCACGACATCCCTCGGCCCAAATTGTTGAGAGTTCATGGCCATATCATTCAACAATTCCCAAGCTTCTCTCGGAGTCTTATTCATTAAAGCTCCTCCACTGGCAGCATCGATGATCCTCATGTCAATAGAAGTTAGTCCTTCATAGAAATATTGGATTAAAAGTTGCTCAGAAATTTGATGTTGGGGACATCGAGCAATTAATTTATTGAATCTATCCCAATACTCGTATAAGGACTCCCCTGATGCTTGTTTGATGCCACAAATCTCTTTTCGCAAATTCGCAGCCCGGGATGCGGGAAAGAACTTCTCAAGAAATTTGCGCTTCATATCCATCCATGTGATAACACTCCCGGCCGGCAAGTTAAACAACCAATCTTTAGCTGCATCCTTCAAAGAGAATGGAAAAGCCCGGAGCTTTATTTGATCCTCAGTGACTCCCGGAGGTTTCATACTCGTACATACCACATCGAATTCCTGCAAGTGCTTGTGTGATTCCTCCCCTGCCAAGCCATGAAAAGACGGCAATAAATGAATTAGTCCAGATTTAAGTTCAAATGCCGTATTATCGGCTATAGCAGGAAAAGTAATACATAAAGGGTGCTGAATTAAGTCGGGAGCAGCTAGCTCCCTCAAGGTTCTTTGTGCCATTGGATTTATCAAAACTTCTTCAACTTCCTTATGCTCTTCACCCTCCTCAGAACTAGAGGTATCCGCTAGTTGGATAGCTAAGTTAAGTCCCGGTGACTCAACTTCTTTCTCGGCCCTCTTTCGCTCTTTAGCTTCTTTCCGCAAACGACGTGCAGTTCTTTCAATCTCTGAGGCAAAGATTAATTGACCTGTACGACTAGTTCGAGGCATAAACCATTAAGCAAAATTAGAGCTAAATAAATAAAAGAAACAACCAAATATCAAAAATCAAAATACTAATCCCCGGCAACGGCGCCAAAATTGCTTGCCTTGTCAAAGCTGCAAAATAAAGTATCAGTTCCTACACCACAAAAAAACTTGCAAAATGTAGTAGTTCGGTGAGTAGGGTCATCTCCGCAGGGAATAATAATAATATTGAATATTCGGTTATCTAAAATTATACTATATATATAATGGTGGGGTTGAATTTATCACACTAAAATAAGAGAAAATAAATTCGCTCAACTAAATAAAATAAAATAAAATGCACGGCAGATTACCAAAGATGATTAGACTCTAGCATAGGCATGAATTTTTCATTCAGGATATGAAATTTGATCATCGACTAAAAGTCAAATTCATCGACTAGTTGGATAAATTGGTTAAAGTTGATCTACACGCGTTCATAACAAACCTTTCCTTAATTTTTCAATAGCTAAGGTACGACCGTTAGCTATTTCTCTAATCGGGAAAGAATCCTAGGTACGACCGTAGTTTTCTAACTCGACAGCAGTAAAAACTAGAAAGGCCCAATTCAATTTAACAAGCTCCTACGAGGATTTTTTTAAAGTTGATCTTAATTCTTCCCTAGAGTGTTCTTCTCTAGGTTGCTACGCCAATTGGAAAATTACACAATTACATATGTCAATCCCCAATATAGCTATGAAATCCTAAATTGATACGTGCGCAATAATCAATTCAAGATTTCTAAACTCATCAATTAGAAGAATTAAAAATACCCAACATCGATGAACACCAATTTTAATCGAAACCAAGTCTCACAATTTCAATCCCGAAAATCAATTCATACCTACACTAGAAATGAAACTACTCACAATCCATAGCAATTAAAAATATAAAATAAATCAAAGAGTTCATCATGCCTTCAAGTTTAAAAATCGACAACAAACCAATTCTAGAAATGAAAAAAATGGTGCCCGGAAGTTCTTCTGCGTTGCTCTCCAAAGTTCCCGTACGTAGTATCTTCCTTCGCTTCTCTTCTCTTTCAGAAAATGGGTTGTAGGTGAGAGATCGTGGTAGAGAACGTGGTAGTCCCCTCTCTTCTTCTCTTCAATTGAAAATCGTGTCTCTTCAAGTCTATCCCAAGATCCCCTTTGCACTTTAAACCAAACAATTCTAAAATTGCTAATTAACCCCGGAGGACCTTTTTGCAATTTTCATTTTTTTCTGCTTCGTGATCACGCTTAAGGACTTTCTGCGTTCTGCTTTTCTCTCCAATATGCCCAAAATTTGTCAACTCCTCAACGCCAAGTAGAAAGTTCAAAAACACATCATTAGGAGCATATATACAAAATTCGCATCCAAAAACCGTCTAAAATATAGCAAAATATTTGTCTAATATCGCATATATCAAATGGTTTTGACAACCACTATGGGATATTCCATATTGGAAGAAATTTGTGCCTACGGTAATGATACATTGTGATGGCCTTGCGGTAATTAAAAGGATAGAAAATGTGATGTACAACGGTAAGTCACAATACATCCATCGTCGCCATAATATCATGCGATAATTGATTTCATGAAGGGTAATCTCATTAGACTACATGAAGTCTTTGAATAACCTAACGAATATGCTAACGTAAAGGTTAAACGGAGATCAACTTCTGAAGTTGCTCAAACGAATAATTTTGAAAAACCAAAACTAAGAACGATTGTAGTGGACACTTAACCTAGAAGAGTGAAAATCCCACAAACTTGGTTCGATAAGAAAACTAAATTACATAAGTTCATGTTACAACATTTGGAAGATATGTTTTCCACCATTCCTCGAGAATGAAAAGAGCAAGCAATGAACGTTGATTATCTTGTTAGTAGTGAAGGCTAAGCGTTGAACTTTAATGACTCCCTATTGATCATAGGCAATGTACGACAGGATATTTTTGAGAAGTCACCTATGCAAGTGCGAAGTGGGGGCCGCTTCAAGTAAAGTATTTATGAAGACAAAAATATTTTTCATGACCCAAAATGAACAAATGTGAGAATAGACAGAGAGGTGAGGTGTTAACTTTCGATGATGTTCTTTAAGTGAACATTGTGGCGGAATAGTTTAAGACAAAGTTCACTAGGTTGCCTGTGTACCGGACGAAATTGAAAAATGAAGGTTCAATGTTAAAAGTTACCTTGCTTTATGTGATAACATATTTTTTAGGAGAGTTGTGTCCTTGTAACTTTATCATTTTCTATTTCTACACATATGGAAGATTGTAGAAATTCTCATTTTAAAAGTTTAAATAAATCAAATAATAATTAATATTTAATCTATTCTCAAATCAAATTAATGAAGCTTAGTCCATGAAGACTTTTTCTATTATGTGAGGTTTGATTGTTGTCTAATTAGAATTTAAAATTTCATGTGTGTATATATATTTGACATTTGAGATGTGTGATTCTCTGTTTCTTTTTTTTAATATTTTTTGTGAGCCCCACCGTTTATTTACTATTATATTTTTTTATTTACATTATATTTTAGGATTTGCTTGGTTGTAAGCCCCATCGTTTATTTACTATTATATTTTTTATTTACATTATATTTTAGGATTTGCTTGGTTATATATATAGGTAGGTTTCTTTAGTATTTTAGTTTGAGATGTGTGTTTTTAGGATGAAAAGGCATTTTTGTAGTATAATAATTAATATTTTATTTAAGATTATTATTATTATTATTATTATTATTATTATTATTTGAGTAAGTTGAGTATATCTACTGTGTGCATATGTGTATAAATTTTATTCTTTATAGTATTAATTGAGAATTATATTAGAAAAAATAGTATTAGATGAATACACTCTTTGTATTTTGATTTTTGCTATATTTTAAAATTTGGAAAAATTTTAATTTAAAATAATAATTTAATGTAATATAAATAAGTATTGATGTGATATTCAAATAAAAACAAATAAATATACAACTAGCAGGTAATCCGTGTTATGCACGAGTATTTTATATTCTAAATTATAGGGTGAAAAAATACCGAAAATACAGTATACCATTTATATCGTACATAATTAAATCGTGTTTCCAGTATATTGTAAATTTTGCAATGGTACAAAAGTTAACCATTAATTTTGGTGTGGTAGCGGTATAAATTTTGCATACCATAGTTTATCGATACCATATCGATGTTCACTATATATTACGATACTAATATATACCAATATTTAGTATATATAGGTATTCCAACGAATTTCCGGTCAGTTCATTAGAGCTCCAAAATATTGGAGTGCCACCTAATTCGGAGATGAACATCGTTTTATTTTTTAAAACATTGTGCCACAAACCGGAGACACTATAGGGCATATTCATTTTTACGAAGAAATGTTCTATCTTAGTTCCACATGATTGAAAAAGAAGAAGAAAGAAGGTAGGGAAGAGGAAGGAAACGAAGAACAAAAAAATGGAAGAGGAAGAAGGTGCACAACGGCAAAGATAGGTTATTTTAGGGTTTGATTTGTTTAAATTAGGATTGATTTTTTTTTATTATTTAAATTATTATATAGAAATAAAAAATAATACTATTAATCAAAAGAAATTGAAGATATTTTAATTGTATGAATGGATTCAAAAACCTCTTATACTAATAAAATATTAAAAAATATTATTATATAAATTATTTTAGAATTTCCGAGACTCGTAGTATGGCTTCGGAATAGACTTGAAATTTTTTATTTTTTAAGATTTTAAATATATTACTTTTAAAATTTTTGAGACTTATTTAAATATTAAAAATATTATATTTAAGAGATAGCACTTACCATGGAATAGGTTCAACTTTCTATACTTTTAAAATATCTAAAAAAATCACAGTTTATAAAGTTTTAGAATTTTCGAGTCCCATAGTGTTGGCTTCGGAAGGAGAATCAGAATTTTTATACTTTTTAAATATAAAAAATTCTGGAGTGGAAATAATTGCGTGTTTTCTCAAGAAGGGGCTGCCAAGGTTGATGAGGAGCAAAAGGAGACTTTATTGGCTGAATTTTCACAAAGGAAGACATATATATGCCCGGCTCTTAAGCTTACCCGACGGAAGGAGGTGAATCCGAAGGTATTTTGCTAGTTCGACATCGCGAAGACGAAGCAGATTTTTTAGTATTTGTTGAAAGACAACCAGCTCCGCCTCAAAGAAGGTCACAAATTGCTAACCGAAGATGAGCTGAATGGAAAATTATTTTGTAAGTGGCATGGAGTATATGGCCATCAGATCGTGAATTGCATTTCCTTCTGAAATATAGTCCAGAAAGCCATCAAAGAAGGCCGTCTCAAGCTGGCCAAAAAAACCTAACATGAATGTAGACACAGAGCTGTTCCCCGCGCCTATAAACATTGTCGGAGTGCGTCCAGACAGGTCCAGGAAGACAAATTCAGGGTTTGGAGTAGATAGTAGGGGAGAAGGCCGTAAAAAACCAGTGTTTGAAAGACTTGAAACATCGATCAAACCTCCGATGAGGAGTTCAGTGTGGGATAAACTTTCCCCACGAACACGGTTGCGGAAGTAAATTTCGAAAAGGAATGTGAGGTTTGGCGAGTGACCTCCGTGGATCAGGTGGTAATCACACCCCATCAAACCCGCGTTCCTGGGAAGGCTCCAAACGATGGAAACTGGACAAGGAACAAGAAGGAGCAGATGTTGTGACCTCTTAATAAAATTCCAAAGAGAAGAATGCAGCGATAACACTTGGCCGCTCGCCTTTCCCAAGACTACCAGGTTAGGGGGCAGCAGACTGATAACCACGAGGATTAAGCCGGGATAGCAGCCCAGGATCCAGAATGAGCTGTCGCTGGAAGGCCTAAGCTTGGTCGAGAAGATCTTTGTCACCAGCTTCAGGTCCGAAGGGAATGGAGATAAAAAGAAGTTTTTTCAATGGTTGAATACCCTATCGAACCTCATTTTATTGCAACACTCGGGATTGGTCATATTCCTGAAGGTGAG